ACATTGAATTAAACACGATATACTGACCATTACAACCGAAACCTGCAAGTACCGGAAGCAGCAAAAACCCAGACCATGTAAATTCGAACTGGCACAAGACAACAGCGCTTCACAGGAGGTGCCACAGCACTGAGGATGTCACCTAGCGAGGGAACAAAATGTCTGCTATCAAACCTTCCCAGCTCAGCAAACACACCAACATCTACAGCCTTTTCCTTGGATTGTGAAATATCCATAATTATCAATTACAGTTTCAATGTTTGTTTGAAAGAAAAACCTCTTTACAACCCCTTTAGGAGAGCTACAGACAAACTTCGGCTACAAATAGAACTATAGCAAAACAAACTGCTCCACATTAGTGACCTACAGTAATAGCTAGATCATCAAGGCTGACTCATCGAGATACTATTGGCATTTAGCAGACATTTCCAAAGTAGTTGCCAAAACTCTCAAATGGATTATTGTACATGATTACATTTCATCCAAGAACATTCTGCTATCAGTAACTTGTGCCCGATTGCTATAATGTGAATCTAAAAGTTGTCTGGTCAATACAAAGTTATCATATTTTCAGGCGTAGAAAAGATAGCTTTCATTTTTTAAATTGTTAGGTCACTTATTATAAATACACTACAACGAAGCAATATTTAATACACTAATGCATAGTTTGTTGAAACTGAACATAGTGTTACAGCTCTAATCAAGAAACAGGACAATTGAAAGTGCCAGGAATAACCATGAGCTAATAACCTGCTGGAACAATGCCATTAAATTTTAACATGTTGAGTAAGTTAAACATTGGCCTTTCTGCCTGCTTGGTTATACTACTGGCATTAAAGTGAAACAAGCAATTAGAAATTACAGAAAATGAGTACTTGAAAGAATAGGCAGACATGTGACAGATGAAATTTAACACAGGTGTGATTTGATACATTTAAATCACATTTTGAAGGATTACAAACCAAGGAGACCATTCAATTCATTGTACCTGGGATGATTCAACATTAAAAACAATTTAGCTAGCCTTATTGCCACGCCTTTCCTAGTAGCACTACAAATTATATAAGCTGCTTTCAACTTTCCTTGATCAATATTCACCTGGACTGTCCACATTGCAAACACATTTTGAATGCCGTATTAAACAACTCCTAAAATAAAAATATTAATATTACATGGCTGTATTTCTAAAGTGACAAATAGAAAGGTCTTGTACGAAGACTTTAAATAGTGCTAATGATATATATATATATTCAATAAGAAATTCAGCTTAATCATAAAGTGAACACTGGGGTTAGTCCTAGACTCATTGGTAGTGCTCTCAACAGTATGACAAGAGCAAGATAGGGCCTGAGGGTGCCTGGTATGTTAAGTTAGGTCCAAGAGCACTGAGATGAGGCTTCCATAAATACTGGGACAATCACAAGATCTAGGTTACAAGTGTTCTGGGACCAGGGAGAAAATGGAAGACTGTATTAAAGGGTATGGGACCATCGAGGTTAGTCCTAAGATCAAAGAGCATTGGGATTACAGTTAGAAGTTTCTGAACACCAACAGAATTCCATGATTTGGGCCAGGGCCTTAGGATCCAGAAGACCAGGGATTAGCTTTCAAAGTATTGAAGGGCGAGGGCAGAGTTTACCGTACCAACAATTTAATTACTCATTGTTTCATCTCTTTGTCTTTAAATGTGTGAAAACTTCTATATCTAACCACTGCACCTCATCATGAAGTTAAAAAAAAGTTAACAAACCTACCAGGACCCGGTCTCCAATCTTCAATTCACGTTCTCCCTTCTTGACTGAGCCAGCTTCCGAAAGGTTTGATACAGATTCACTTGCTGTTTTTAAGAGATTGGTCATGGTTGAAGGAGTTGCAGGTTCCTGAGTTGCACCTGATGTACCTAATGCCGCTTTTTGTGCAGTTGGTGTCGATGACGCAGTCGCAACACTGGCTGAAGTAGATGTTGGTGAATTGGCTCTGGAAACAGATGCTGCACGTGTCTGTGAACCATTAGCTTCACCATCAGTCAGTGGGCTTCGAGACAGTTTTGACGGTCTTGTAAATATTCCACGCAATGGTTCACATTGGAAATATCTAACCCCGGCAACTGAACCATCATTTTTACCAATTGGTTCATCCAAAACAATTCCAGCCCACTGGCCTGGAGCAAATTGACTCTCACCAAGAAACTGGATGAATCCAGGTTTGCTACCATTTACCCAGATGCGCTCCCCAATTCTAAAGTCATCCACAAATTCTTCCTGTGCCTCTGCATTGGATGTACTTGATGACTTCTCGCCTGATGTTTTTGCTGTAGCAGTAACAAATATTGATAGAAAAAAAAATTAAATATTTGAAAACATGACTTCAATGTATTACATTGTGTTTGTCTCATGAACTTTCTCCCTTCTCCTCTCAATCACTTGTTGAGGGTCAGATCTAGGCATGAATCACCCATTCATGTAACTATTTAGTTGTGGTTGCTGACTAATATTATGTGGCAGGCAACACAGTTAACTCCAATCATGTCCTCATATAATATCCACACACATGCATTACCCAGTAAGGTTTATTATATGGTGATGAGGATCAGAAATTCTGGAAACTTTTCCATTCTTAACTCAGAGTTGGTGAGTCAACTTGGATTGACCTAACTACCATCTTGGTTGAGAGCAATAGACCATCAATAAAAAAAAAATTATCTTTGCTTTTTAAATAACACAATATCTGTAATGAAACCTAATTCATTATTCTATACTCAAGAATTTTCAATAAAGTTCAACAGATCTTATGTTAGATAGATAGTGGAAAATGGTTACAATGAGGCTGGAGAGGCCTTCTCAAAAAGAAAAACAATTGGAAACATCAAAACACAACAGTCTGCAAAGTCAAAACTGTTTTCAGATTACAGATTTCAAAAAGCCAAAAATTAGTTTTCAAATTAATTACTGTATAAATTAGAGTGATTTCGTCAGCTGATTATAGGCACACCTTGCAGTCAGAAAGTTGTGAATTCAACACATCGAGAAGCACACCAAAAACAGACAAAACAGATAGACCCAAAATCATGTAAGTAGGTTAGTCAACAAGATGGTTCTTAAGGAAGGTCTCAGACGATGCTGGATTTGCAGAAGGGAATTCCACTGTGCGGAACTTTGATAACTGCATTACTTAAGTGGCCTTTCTGATGTTAACTGAAGTTCCATCTGCCTCTCAAGATACAACAGATCCCATGAAAATACCACTATGCATCCCTGCACCAAAATCATTAAAACAACTGACCACTCATTCAACCCTTGTGCTATTTCTGCAATCTTGCTATGCAGAGATTAGCCACCACATTTGCTTACAACTGGACGATACTTCAAATGCAATTCATTGGCTGTAAAGTTCTTTGGGATTGTTACAAACACTGGACTTGATAAGACGTTATGTTTTAAACTGTTTTATTTAAGGTTTAATGAAAAGTAGTTTGGAGGGGGCATAATGACCTCTGACAGAATATGCCTGGATTCAAACCTGTGTGTTCTGCTTATTACAGAGGTTCAAACTCAAATTGAAATTTATTAAAAGTCAGAGGCAAGTTTTAACACCTAAACACAAGGAACAGACAACCATACTGGCCAGATTCTCAAAACCTTGGAGTCAGTCAGACAGATTTAGGGGAAGATAACCCACACAGAAGGTGCTGTTATGCCAAGCAAAAGTAGTGAGGATGGATTCCTGGTTTGAAGAAACAAGGCTTGCGAAGAGCTAAAGATCACAAAATCACTGAAGGTACACTATTACTGGAAGTCCATTCTAAAGGCCTGAGTAAAAGACAATTTGTTAAAAAACACTCTGGAAGAATCACATAGGTGGGGCAGGAAGAGGAGATTCTGTTAAAGATGGGAGGTGCTTGGGACTTTAACCAGAAAACTACATTTCTGCCAAGAGTATAGTGTAAACTTGGTGTTGTCTTTTCCATTGACTTGTTAATAGGAAAGACCTTTTCTGTGGTTTAGTCTATTAGTTGCCTACTAAGTAATGCTTAGTCAGTATTGATTTGAGTTTGTTTGAAACAGCAAGTCTTAAAACATAAAATCTTGTCATGCAATCATGTGAGTTGAACACAAGAACATACCTCTTAAAAAAATTATTGGGTCTACTGGATTATAACAATGGATTTGAGGCGTGAAATGAAATGCAGGTATTGAAAAATATTTAACAAAATTGTCAGGCACATTACTAAATTCAAGCAGATACTAAGTGTGCTTTGTAATGCTAATTTCTATGGCAACACTTACTATGCAAAGAAATATTCAATACCAAGACCCACAAACAGATTTGAGCTAATGTCAGGATTAATCTGCCTTTTTATCAGTGTCCCTGTTACTGGTTGAAAATAATTCTTAAGTGTAAGATTTTCAGCTGTAGATGCAACTAGTATTTACTATCAAGTTTGGTAAAATTTAGCAATTATGACATTCTCAGTATAACTTGGGAGCCCATTTTTATACTATAGTTCCAAATCAAGATAGTGTGGGACTTAGAGTCTTAGAGATATACAGCATGAAACAGACCCTTCAGTCAAACTTATCCATGCCAACTAGATATCCTAAATGAATTTGTCCACTATACCTCCAATTTTTGGTGTCAATTGCAAACTTACTAACCAGACCTCCTATATTCGCGTCCAAATCATTTATATAAATTATGAAAAGCAGTGGTCCCAGTACTGATTTTGTGGCACACTGCCAATTACAGGCCTCCAGTCTGAAAAGCCACCCTCCACTACCACCCTGTCTTCTATCTTTGAGCCAGTTCTGTAACCAAATGGCTATTCAATGTGATCCTATCTTACTACCTAGTCTGCCATGCAGAACCTTAAGCAAATATTTACATTGCAACTTTTCAGATCCATATATTGCAAAATGTTTCACATATTACTTTGTGTGCAACGCTTGTTATGCAAAGAAGTATTCAATACCAACACCCACAAACAGATCGGAGCTAAATATTAGGATTAATCTGCCTTTTTATCAGTCCCTGGTTTAGGCAATAATGTTGGCTCTAACACTTATGGTATTCTCTATTCTTTGAATAGACTTATGGATCTGTAATATCAACTTGAACCAGCAGATAAATCTTCAGTTTAAATCTCAGCCAAAAGAAGTACAATATACTCTCAGGCATCTAAAAAGCATCAAGTTATGTTACAAGCTGGTGTTATAGGATGGATTGAGATGTCTCTTAGGGAGCAAACTGGTTCATGGGTGAGGGGAGCCTTTGATGAGGCCGAAACTCATGTACTGGAGAGAGCAAAATATCTCGTGGAGAGTTAACAATTGAAGTGTGATATCTTGTGGGCTACAGGAGTAAAACATTGGATATCGCTAACCTTGATTCACTTTCTTATTCACCTTTCACTAGCTGGAAAGGATTAATTATTGCATCCCAATATCATTACAATCGAGATCTGCTAACTCAAGTCAAACCAAAGACTGAATCTGGTATCCTCCTAATCTCTATGACCCAGTTCTACATTTGACAGCTCTACATCATTATTTGGTGATGGCTTGGAAGCTCTGGACTTCCACACATGCAAGGTTATCTTTTTGGTGTAATCATTAGATCTTTATTGTTTTCCTTTCTTTTTTACCACCTTTTGTTCAATAAGTATTCCCAGCTCCAAACTCAAAAATCAAGACATAATAGGCATGGAAAACGACATAGGAAACACTGAAGGAGAACGGGGAAGTGATGCTGCTGCCAGAACCCAAATTGTATAGTTTGTCCTTCCTCATAACATTTTTCAAAAATGTTATCTTCTTCCTGCCTTTGTGTCAAGTTTTCTAACTTTTTTTTAAGCTTTTTTGATAAAGCATGCAACTATCAGGAAAAGATAAATTGAAGAATAAGACAAAAGGAAAAGAGATCAAGCTGGTTATAAAAACCAAAAGCACTGGGGATGCTGTAAATTAGAAAAAAATAGAAATTGCTAGAAAAGCTCAGCAGATCTGGCAGCATCTGTGGAGAGAAATCAGACTTAATGTTTCAGGTCAAGTGACCCTTCCTCAGAACTGATGGCAGCTAGAAAAATATCAGTTTATATGCGGAAGATAGGGCAGGGGTAGGGGGTAAGGAGTGAATGATAACTGGGGATAAAAGAGAGAAAAAAAGACAGGAACAGTTGGACAAAGGAGTGAATAACGATCTAGCTAGGAGGGTGAATATCTATTAATGGAGACGGTTATTAGCTAACAATGGGTGTGTTCAATAGTAGACTAATGTGATAACAAGGCCTGGTGTGCGGGGGTTGGCGTAAGGCTACGAACAGTCTCCATTAATAGCTATTCACTCTCCTAGCCAAATCGTTATCTACTCCTTTGACTTTCCAACTGTTCTTCTCTCGCTTTGGGCCCTACCCCCGCCTATCGTTCACTCCTTATCCCCTCTCCCTCCCCTATATTCCGCATAAATACCGACATTTTCCTAGCTACCATTCTGAGGCAGTTCTGAGGAAGGCCCTCTTGACCTGAAACTTTAACTGATTTCTGACCACAGATGCTGCCAGATCTGATGAGCTTTGCCAGCTATTTCTATTTTTGTTTCAAGCTTGTTATAAAGGAGAAGAGCACAAAGGCAGAAGACAGAAATCATTTAGATCTCTTCTATATGGAAACTTTTTTTTAAAAGATTTAATGAACAGCTGACAGCACAAAGCAGCAAAGCATTATTTGAAGATAATAATGCTTTGTGCAAACATCCTGAAACAGCTTATAACACATGATCAGAAGTTGATTAGAATTATTGAAATTTTAAATTGAAAACATGGAAAGTTTTTAAAAGAAGTCCACTGTACAAAAATCTTTAAAATAAAAACTATATGACTCTTAAGTTATCCCCAAGTAATCTAGTATCCATTCCTTCCCATCTCCAATCAGTTTTTTTTTTAATTCATTCATGGGATGAGGATGTCGCTGGCTAGGCATCCATCCCAGACGGCAGTTAAGAGTCAACCACATTGCCATGTATCTGCAGTCAGATACAGGCCAGACCAGGTATGGGTAACAAAAACAAAGTTGCTGGAAAAGCTCAGCAAGTCTGGCAGCATCTGTGAAGGAGAAAACAGAGTTAACGTTTCAGGTCCGGTGACCCTTCCTCAAAACTATGGGTATGGGTAAAGCAGTTTCCTTCCCTAAGTACATTAGTGAACCAGATGGGTTTTTCCAACAATCAACACTGATTTCATAGTCATCATTAGATTCTTAATTCCACATTTTTATTGAATTCAAATTCCACAATCTGCCATGGTGGGATTCGAACCCA